CCCGACGGCTCCGCGCTCAGCCCGGCCGGCGCTGCTCATGTGGAGCCCGACGAGGTGGACAAGTTCAAGGCCCGGTTCCTGACCGCCTGGAACAACGTCAAGTATGGTGAGGAGGGGGCAAGGTCAGCTTTGGGGGTGTGCGGGACAATCAGGCCCTGTCCCCATGATGAACCACTCTATGCTCCTGCCCCGTGAGTCACCCGTGGGTCCCCGCCCTGCCCCACCCCGGGTAGACCTGGGGCAGGATTGACAGGGAAGGTTTGCAAGCTTCGCCCATTCACCGTTTGACCTTGGGGCAAAGTTCGTGGTTCTCTGCCCCTCCACCTCCCCACTTCTAAGACTGGGTGCCTTCATCAGAAGGGCGTAATTTGGACATCCCAGCCCTCCGGAGGCTGAGGCAGGAGGATAGCTGCAAGTTCCAGGCCAGCTTGGGCTCCGTAGTGAGTTCAAGCCAAGCCTGGACTATATAGTTTCTCTTGAACCTTTGAAAAGCTAGAACCCAAAACACCAGGCATGGTGGCTTACACATGTAATCCCAGCATTTGGGGGACTGATACAGTAGGATTGCTGTGCGTTTCAAAGCCAGCCTGAACCACTAGCAAGACCCTGTCTCTAAAAAATAGAGATAATCACTTGCCTTCATCCCCCTCAGCTGATGGCCTAACACTCAGGCAGCTCTTACCAAGATGTACCATACTTGTCTCTTGGAGGGGTCTTGGTGGGAAGTGGGATCGTGACAGTCCCACGTCTTCCCAGGGTGGATGGTCAAAAGCCGGACCAGCTTTAGCAAGATCTCCAGCATCTACCTCTGTGGGCGCCGCTACCGCTTTGAGGGTGAAGGTGAGTCTCAGACAAGGCACAGGGATGAAGAATAACCAACCCCCAACCCCTCCACACCCCATCCCTGATGGCTGGTGACAGGCCAACTCTTCTAGGTGACATCCAGCGTTTCCAGCGGGACTTTGTGTCCCGCCTGTGGCTGACCTACCGCCGGGACTTTCCACCCCTAGCTGGGGGCTCCCTGACCT